AACAAAAAAAAAAAAAAAAACCCAAACAAATTTACCAGAAAAAAATGGTGAGGTGGTGGATATCGTCCCTCCAAATTGCAGAGCTTTTCGTTAGCTCCATAGTGCATTTGAGCTACGGGTTTTACATTTCAGCACGGCTTTAGCCAGAGAACTCTTGCAGGCGCTGGCCGATTGGACTTTCAGACCTAATCTTTCCGGCCGTCTGAAAAGGGTGGACTCCGGCAAAAAGTCAACGCGCGTTGACGATTTGCCTCCTATTATGTTGGTTCATGGGATTTTTGGATTTGGTAAAGGGGTATATGAGAAAAACCATTGCTTCTATTTGTTGAAAGTGTTTTTCAGGCATTTCGTCGAACAGTTAAATTGCAAGACTGAAAAGACATAATACATTTTTTTTTTTTTTTTGAAGAATCTTATTTTATGGTGACCTGTTTTTCTTACAGAGATTAGGAAGTCTATCTTATTTTGGAGGAGCAGAGAAGAAGGATGTTAGGGTTCTTGTGTTGATTACTTTTTCTCTTTCTCTCTGTGTGTGTTGTGTATGTGTTTTTTATTTTTTAATTTTTTGGTTAATTGTAATGGCGATTTTTCGGTTTTAAGGGCAAGAGAATTGTTCTACTATCTAAAAGGAGGACAGCAAGGCTTGTGGGCACTCACAGTTTGGCGGAATTTATGAAAAAGGTTTGCAAATTTTTTTCTGAATTTGTGGGTCAAATTTATTACTATCTGAACTGAATGATGAAAATGGATAATTTCCATTTCAAGGGTATTATCCCGAATGGGATGAAGATCACCCGATTCATTATGTGGGTCATTCGGCCGGTGCACAAGTGGTTCGGGTCTTGCAGCAAATGCTTGCTGGTAAGGTAAAAAAATCTTATAAAAACTAAGACTAACTTCAAGTTTGTAAAATAAAAACTTAATTTCTTTTAATATTAACTTTTAATAGGCTTTCGATGGATACGAAAACACCTCGCCTAACTGGGTCTTGAGCTTAACCTCATTATCCGGTGCATTCAACGGCACCACAAGAACCTATTTGGATGGCATGCAGTACGTTCCTTTTTCATAAAGTTTCAAGCTTTATTTCATATTAGTTTTAAGTAAGGCTACGTCTAGTAAACCTAGTTAATAAGCTAGCTTATAACTTTTAAGTGAATTCCGAGCTTATAGCTGATAGCTTATGACTTATAGTTGTAAAACTAGCTTACATGATAAAAGTGTTTGGTAAAATTAGCTATAAGCTAGCTGAAATAAAAATTTGAAAAGCTATCCAACGAAGCTTATGAGATAAGCTTAAGCTAGTCAAATAAGATATAAGCTAGCTTATATGCTTACCAAACACAACCTTAAATCAAAACATTGTAGTGCTTTTCTTGATTAGAGTTTTTCAAGTGTTCACCACATTTTGAAAGAAAATCTTGAGAATGTTGCAGATGAGCCAGTGGAGGTACCCTCCAGATGTTGACCCTCCGTATAAAGGTTACCGGTGAGTATAATTTCGACAGAAAAGAAAAATAATAATAAATAAATGAAAAATAAATAATAATACAATATCGATGACACACCCTCATTTTCCAGTCGAGCACCCGAGCCATTTTGTCGTCAAGGATTGGGAATGCCAACCTTTACAGCCTGGCATATGGTTCGTTTTCCATTGATCTTTTTTTATTTCCCCTCTAGAATAAAACATATGAACTCCATATAATGTGTTATTCGAAATGCAGGTATTACAAGATTGTTGAGGGAGATCATATTTTGTTCATCATCAACCGAGAAAGAGCTGGCGTTCAGTTTGATCTGATTTACGATAGTATTTTCGAGAGATGCAGAAAGCATGCTTTTAGAAAGAAGCCTACATTGCCAAATCAAGTGCATCAATAGTAAGTGTACAAAAAAAGATATGTAAAAACCTCACTTTCACATGAACGGTTGGAGAATACATTGAGGCTTGCTTCTAATCTTCTTATTCCTCTAATCTTCTTATATTTAATATGTAAAAAAAAAAGGCTGAAAAATTACGGATTAGCACCTGATACCTTGATACTAACAAATCACAAATATATTACTATCATAATTGGGTCTCTACAAAACATGCGAAGAGTAAATTTAAAATGAGCACTTTTGATTGAAAAAACGCTAGCAAGCAATCACAAGTTTCCATGATACAAACAGCAACAAGAATGATGAAAGGAGAGAAAGAAAAAGAAAAAGAAAAAGGCCTCACGAGTAATGAAATCGGGCAAAAGTAAGCAGCCATCAAATAAGTCTCAGCTCATATTCACCAGCCATTGTTATGTATCTCACCCATGGCAGAGCCTGATACCCACTTTTTTCGATGATTTTCAGGTAGCGAACCTATAAGAACCCAATTTTCGATAATTACATTGTACGTTTAATTATTGTTAAAACTTCAGTTCCAGAACATCTCACAAAGGTGACGGCATATATGAGGCCCCAAATCAAAATAAATAAAAGTGTCTCGCTAGTGCAATTTTGTGTTCACAATGTCACTCAGAAATTTTGATATTCTTGCATATACGGATTCATAAATAGATAGATTCGCGTTAAGAGGCTGACCTGTATGCCTGAAACAGTGAAATATGGTATTTCAAACTTCACACGTATAGGAGCCTTTCTCTCTGCGGCCGATTCATCTGGCGTTATGCTGGGAAGCCTGAATTCGGCTCTCAACATNGGTTGAACTCATATAAAAATCAAGATAACTCTGTTGACTCAAAATCCAACTCAAATTTAACTCAACCAGACTCTCCTCAATATTATCAATATAATTAAAATAATATCAATCAATTATTGTCACACACCACATCTTTAAATTCACTGTTCATAAGTTCATCTACTAATAACTTTAATGACTCATCACTTTCAATTATCGTATTTTTACATCACATCAATTCTAATCATCACATTTTAAATACTATTTAAATAAAAACTCAAAATCCCACTCAAATCAAAACTCAAACCAACTTTTTCCAAATTTAACTAAATTTACCCAATAAATCTAATCAAATTTAACCAACTTTAACACCACAGGCTGACCGACAAAGGAAAAAGGAAATTCTAGGTTTTAAAAAATTCCTCACCTTACCACCAGGAAAAGATTTAATCTTCCAAACCAACGAGTCCTTCTCTGGAGCATAAGCAGCGTACCCCATTGATGTACGGACATTTGGATTGGTGGCATCAGCTGGGACGGGTAACTCGATTTCGACATTAGTTGCGGTACTGAACGTTTGAACTCAACAGTGAAATTAGAGATTTATGAAGTACAATTATTATTTTAACAAAGAACGGGAAATAAATATACACATCACGCATAAATATGACAAGAAGAATTACCTACGCTCCTTGAACTGGCTCCTGGCCTTTACCATAATTTCTATGCGGCTCCTAGAGTGCCTTTCGACCTGTGCTTCTACCCATATTAGGGGCTTTACCTGAAAAGAAATCATAACCGAATGCTTTAAGAGAATATCATAATTTCAAAAAAATGCTGTCCTATTTCAGAATTCGGCCCCATCATTCCAGGATGGATTCTTTTTCCATGTTAAACTCAAATTTGGAGAAGTTTTAAATAAAATATGATCAAGGGGCATATCCCAATTGCAGAAACAAACCTGAGTGCTGAGCCTGTAGGTCATGAGGTCGAAAGATCCATCAGGAGGAATGAAGGATATTGTCCTGTCATTTTCAAATCGAGCCAAACGCACACACCTGAATCGTAACAAGAATTTGAAATAAGTTTTAATTTTATAAAAGGAAGCCAATAAACAAAATCACATGATTTCATGTGCCACTTATACACAAACACACACACACACACACACGGGCACTTCTAATTTATGTGAAATTTTCTATGAAATATACAACACTAGAAATTGTTCTTCCTAGTTCATCACATATACAAGATTTTACACGACAGGAACCTTTTCCACATTAAACTAGCTGCTTCAATTAATCAACAATTGAAGTAATTACTAGTACATAAAAAATATAAAAAATAAAAAAAAAATTCGAGAGGATAAATTACATACTGATGAAACTTGATGTCATCAAGATCAATGGCTTTTCCCTTAGTAGCTTTCCCTTGTGCCTCAAGCAAAACTCTATCATTCAGCCCAAGCTTACACTCAGGCATACCACTGCAATGAATGTGGTTTTATTACTCAACTATCAAATTTTCATAATACATCAGACTGCACCTCGTTCAGAAAGGTTTGAATTTGATTGCAATTATAAAGCAAATCACCAAAGTCAAAAGGTAGACTAAAAGAAAGCATGGAAAGGTAGACTTGTAAAATGCATGAATATCTTCCAAGTTAAGGAAGATAATGCAGAATATAGTCAAACGGGAGAAAACAAACCTCAAATACGTCCGCATCTTTAGAGCCCCAACAACGTCTGACCTAATTATCTGTCCATTGCTATTGACTAGAATGTTGACACTTTCCACAACGTCTAGGAAAACCTTGAAAACCAAAAAATGCCCACATAAATCAAGTGTAATAGAAATGTATGTACTACTTGGCACACTAAGAGAAACTCACTTCATTCTTTTTATAACGTATCCCTTCACTGCGCCACGACACTGCATTTGTAACAGCCATCGGAGGCCTCTGTGCCACTTCCATTCTGTAAGCATCAGTCTTGATGAACTCACTAAGAATCTTGGCTTCAGTATATTGTGGGTAGCCAAAGTCCATAATCTCGTCAAGTAACTCATACTAAAAGATACGAGACATCAGATGTTAAATATAGCCAAAGTCCATAATCTCGTCAAGTAACTCATACTAAAAGATACGAGACATCAGATGTTAAATACAGTCATCAAAATTGCACTCCCAAAGAAAAAAT